AGTCTTCAAAAGGAATAAACGCAGGCAACACTCCAATAGTAAGGATGGTATATTTATTGGTAGGTGAACCACCCCATAGAAAGTGTGATGTTTCAGCTCATGCAATAAGGCTCTGCTGAGCCGAAACGACGCACTTTCTTTGGGGTGGTTCACCTATCAATAAATATACCATCCTTACTATTGGAGTGTTGCCTGCGTTTATTCCTTTTGAATACATTTACACAGTCATACAGAGACATACATAGTGTATGTCTCTGTATGACGGTCTGTGTATGTACACAGGATGGCTAAAAGATAGACCCCCATCTGTCGTGCAACTTCAACAATGCTTTGAAAGCTGGGGCTCTACCGATTCCCCATGCTTGCAGGATTGTATTTAGCATGGAGCAGTATTTGTGTGTTTGACTGTAAGCATGTGTTTGTATGGAGTATGTTTGTATGATTGTAGCGGTGTGTTTGTATGTAGTGTTTGCATTTGAATGCAAGCATGTATTTATGTGTAGTGTTGGTTTTTGAACGCAGGTGTGTGTTTATATATAATTTTGGTGTCTGATACAGAGGTGTGTTTGTATGTAGTGTTGACGTTTGCATGCAGGTGTTTATTTGTGTGTAGTGTTGTGTTTGAATGCTGAGATATATGCACATATACACATACACTGCCACACACGCACACACTGTGATACACATACACAAAGATACACACACTGACACATGCAGATATACATATACACAAACTGATACACATTCAGATAGACACACAGGTACACACAAACACTGACAGACATACAGATAAACACACAGTGACAGACACACATACACAATGATAGGGAAGAAGACACACTAACAGACAGACACACACACTAACAGACATTTAGATACACACAGACACACGGACAGAGACATATACATACACACACACACACACTGACAGACATGGATACACACACACACACTGACAGACATAGATACACACACACACACTGACAGACACACACACACACTGACAGACATAGATACACACACACTCACTGACAGACATATATACACACACACTGACAGACATATATACACACACACACTGACATATACACACACACACACTGACAGACATACACACACACTGACAGACATATATACACACACACACACACTGACAGACAGATACACACACACTGACACAGACATATATATACACACACACACACTGACAGAGACAGATACACACACACTGACAGACATATATACACACACACACACACACACACTGACAGACAGATACACACACACTGACAGACAGATACACACACACACTGACAGACATACACACACACTGACAGACATAGCACACAGACACACTGACAGACATACACACAGACACACTGACAGACATATATACACACACACACACACTGACAGACATATACACACACAGACACACTGACAGACATATACACACACAGACACACTGACAGACATATACACACTCAGACACACTGACAGACATAGATACTAACACACAGACACACTGACAAACATACACACACACACACTGACAGACATATACACACACACACTGACAGACATATACACACACACACACACACACACTGACAGACATATACACACACACTGACAGACATATACATACACACTGACAGACATATATACACACACTGACAGACATATACACACACACTGACAGACATATATACACACAGACACACTGACCAACAGGTTCAGAAGGGGGGCTTACCTGGGATCCAAAGTGCTGCCTGAGGTAGTTGGGAGTTGGAGGAGCTGGTCCTGCCCAGCCCCCCTCCTCTCTGCCTTCTGCTGCCCTAGTCTTGTTGGGAGGACTTCCTCCCATGCTGATTAGAAGGGGGCCGTAGCTCCGCCCCTGCTGGGCGCCAGCCGCGCTGTGTGCTACAGAGGGAGCAGGGATATGACGTTCATATCCCCGCCCCCTCCACACAGTCCGCGGCACTGCAGGCTGGCGCTCGGCCACGCTACAAGAAGTGACCGGCAGGAGAGGGGAGCTGTGCGCTTCTCTCCTGCCGGCCACCCGGACATTTGTGCCCCCGGACCGGTGCGCCCTAAGGCGGCCGCCTGTGCCGCCTTATGGACGCGCCGGCCCTGCACGTGGGCCAATCAAATGTTAGTTTAAACTTTAGTATTTAGTCTTTAAACTTTCATAGCCCTATCCACTTTGCCCTATTGTGGTTTCTGTTTCAGTACCCTTTAGTGCGTTCTTTGATCTATTGTTTATTCTGATATTGACCTTGGCATTGTATCTGACTCTGAATTTATTTTTAACCATTTCCTGTCTTGTTTGATCCATCTTACTGATTTCCATGTTTCTGACTCTGGCTAATTCTTGTTTTCACTGTCTCTCCGTTACCTTGACCTCGGCTCATCTCTGATTATGCTTTTTCTCTTGTCTCTTGCTAGCCTAAATTCTGCGTGTTGGGGTATTACACCGTGACACTTCCCCTCTTTATGTCTTTTCACCCCAGCCTTTCTGTGTGCATGTTTGTCTCGCCAGCCCTTCTGTGTGCCTCTTTGTCCCCCCAGCCCTTTTTGTGTCTGTTTCTTACCTCAGCACCTTTGTGCATCTGTTTTTTTCCCAACCCCATTGTGTGTCTCTGCCCTTCTTTTGTCTACTTGCTCCTGTGCCCTTCTTTTGTCCTCTCCCTTCCTGTGCCTTTATTTTGTACTACTCCCTTCCTGTGCCCTTCTTTTGTACCCCCCTCCTGTGCCTGCTCAGCCCCACATCTTTTCATGTAGCGTGGGTAAGTTGGTGGTCCATGGCAAAAGAACCCCTGCTTCCTGTTCCTGGTCTGACAGTAAGCTGTTAGTTGCTTTTAGTGAGCACTTACTGCCAGACAGATACAGAAGCTCTTCTACCTCGATCCGCCTGCTCGGCTACACTACATGCAGTGACCGACAGAAGTGCTGTGCAGTGCAGTGGACCACCTGCCCCCCCTTAGTATGCCACTGAGCCCTATTGACCTGATACTCACTAGATTTTCTAGATCCAACTCACCTGTTCTCCCTACCTCCCCCAATTCTAAATCATCTGTACTCACTACTGCCCCTTATTCAAAGTCACTTGTACTAGTCTAACTAACTCCATAAAATACAGTGAGAAGAAAAATATGTTGAAGCAGTGGAATACATTTTTGTGGCTTCCAACCTGTCCACTCCTTTTTTGTACCTTTAATAACACATTTCGCACCTCCTGTGTTTGATACTATCAATTTCTCTTCTTTGAGTACATATAAACTGAGTTACAATGTTTCCTCATACACACTGAAGCTAATTAAACATAATTACTCATTAAAATAATGTTACCCTCATATAAAAATTGAGTATTGCATAAAGATTGAATCTTTATGAAATACTCAGAGTGGCTGTGTTGGAATTTCACTTAAATTCCAACCCAGTCAAAAAAAATATACTCTGACAAAGTAGGGATTACTTTGCCTCTGGAAATTTCATCCACTTGACAAAATGGTGGAGCTACCTTCTCTTAAGCTTGTCATTTCCCCCCAGCAATCAACAGTAATGGCTGTAACAGCTTTTTTTCTATGGAGGATCCGACTGTCTCGCCCACTGATCTCAATGCTATACTCTTGCGCATGCGAGTTGGCTGACGTCATCTCCTGGCAGATGAAGCACCAGGAGTTGAAGAGGACTGTAAGAAAGAGTATGGTGGCTCCTTTGAGGGACAGGTTCGGGTAAGTAAATCTCGCCTCTCCCTGTTCTCCATTGCCACCGGATCCCCAACAGCGATGTCACACCGATATTCCAAACTTCTAGTGCACTGGCTGTGATCTAGAAGAGTTTGGGCACGAAGTCCTTAAAGGACCACTATAGTGTTAGGAAAACATACTAGTTTTCCTGGCACTATAGTGCCCAGAGGGTGCCCCCACCCTCAGGGTCCCACTCCCGTGGCGCTGAGGGGGGAGGAAGGGGTTAATCCCTTACCTTTTTTCCAGCGCCGGGCTACCTCGGCGCTGGGACTCTCCTCCCTCTTCTTCCGTCATCGGCTGAATGCGCATGCTTTCCTATGGACGCTGGCGTCTTCTCACTGTGAAAATCACAGTTTCTCTGAAACTGCTATGTTTACTGCAAAAAAGGGTTAAACCTAGCTGGACCTGGCACCTGGCACTTCATTAAGCTGAAGTGGTCTGGGTGCCTATAGTGGTCCTTTAATAATTTCTTGGAAAGCATTTATTTTGCTATTTTAAACAAGAGTGTCTGTTTACAAATGAAAATGTAGGGGGGCGGGGCCGGGCTGCCGGGCCGGCTGGCAGCCATGAACCTTAGCTCCTGATCCGAGCACGGGAAAAACGCACTAAAAAGGTGTGTTGAACACCCCAAAGTGGACATCTTCGCGGTACCGGAGCAGAGCAAAACCCTAGCATCAGAAAGACACCCAATAACCACCAACAGCAAGATGGAAGGTGGGTGCTGATGTCTCCGGCCTACACACAATATGGAGCCTCAAGCGGCAACTGAGCAGGGCGGACAGCGCGAAGGGGCCCTGACTTAACACGGCCGGTGCCTGCCGGCGGTGCGGCCCCGCTCCCCCCCCTCATGGTCGGCGGGGGTAATCCCGACCTCATGGCTGCGGCCCACATGGCGACGGGAGTCCCCGGGCTGGTGTTGTGCCGACCGCCTACACTGGCAAAGGCTGCAGGCGGAACAGCCTGTCAGAAGACTGGTCCAAACAGACATGGGGACAGCCACAGCGGTGGATATGCGCAATCGGCTGTTTTAAACCCCTTTCATTAAACACCCAACGGCTCTGAGAAGGGACACAGGGGAAAATACTCACCTAACGTGGGGACCGCCTTGGACAGAGCGTGTAGCCTTCGGCGCTACCGACCTCCGGATGGATTCTCTGGCAACCAGCCCGCAAGAGGAGTAGGTGCCCGGGCCTCCGAGATCCCGGAGGGACTTGTCCCTGGCGCTGTGAGCCCTGTGGCCCAGGTGGGGGCGGGCCTCCCGGCGGACCGGTGGCCGAGACTGGCGTGCACCACCCCCAAGAGTGTGGCCGGCGCCAGGAGAGACATGGGGGCACACGCTCCACGGAGACTTGAGAGGTTTTGGGGAGGTGCAGGAGGCAGACGGTTCGCAGACTCTAGGTGTGGGGGTCATGCGGACTAGACCTGCTTCTGAGTGCCCACAGAGTCAAGGAGAGTCCAACTGGCGGGCTGAGACCTGCCTGGGGGAGAGAGCTGGAGACCCGTGGACTGAGGGACATATCGCTGCTGTGCCATAGTCGGCCCTCGACCGACTAATATAAAACCCTGTGCTGCTATAATTCGTATATCAATATTCATTAATAACTGTAATATTTCGAGGCTCTATAGCCGGAGGTTCATACCCCCATCATATTACCCTATGTTACGGAACAGCATGTTTACAGTTTAACCGTTCATTGCATATTTTTCAGTTGTGTTTGTAATCTCGCACGTACAGTTTCTGTGGGTCCAATCTTAGGGACACCGATTACCTCCTACCTGAGGGCACGAATGTAAGACTTACAACATACTACCCTGTTAAACGTGGGGAGAGGAAGATACACAGCAACCGATTAAGCCCCTAATCCCCCATTATCTACTCATTGAATGTCATGTTAACATCTCAGAGTGAATTACTAACCCTGTCTCTGATTTTCTAATGATGAGCCCTTGTGTTATACCATAGTTTAACCCCCCCCCTGCCAGCATATGGGGACTCACTAATGAGTTGCTGCGTAATGTTTAATCAAATACAGTTGAGAATAGGCATTATTTAACTGGACCCGTTATAATCCAGCGTAGACAATAGTGCAAATACCTCGGTTCAGATTTACCTAAACATTGTACGGCTAACATATGCTGACAGCAGAATAAGATGCAGAGAATGATCTCTTCTTGCTACTGTTGGACCGGATATGCAATATGTCATTTGCTTAACATTAGTTATGTTACTTGTGTTCACATAATCTAACCTTTCTGCCTTATTAAGCTTTGACTGCTCTCAGGCGATATAAAATGCACTCTGTGACATATGCCTATATCGAAAGCTCATTATGATCCATTTATCTCCCCTGCGTGGGATGACTGCTTTTCTTGTGCACCAATAAACTTATTTCAAACAAATGAAAATGTATATGTTTTTAAATAAAGGATAGTGACTTTTTGTTATGCTTGCTTACTCTTTTTCATATGTCCGCATTGTGATACCAATTCAAGTGAGAATTGTTACAGTGGATCTGGCTAGCTGGTCTTATCTCCCTTGTTACCAGCATGGTCCCAAACCTGCTGTAAGAACACAGTTCTTACATAGCAGAATATATACAACCTGTCTTGGGCTCTGAGTCTTGTAAGTAGTTCAGACATTTGATTTCAGATTTTTATATATTATATATTAAAACACTCTGCAATATTATTATTATTTTTTTTTAAGTTTTCTTTTGGTGCATCTGACATTAAAGTCAAGCTAAGGTGTATTTAATTTTAAATGAGTATATTATTATTAAAGTCTTTATTTCAGTAGATGGCAGTACAAACACAAATGCAAAATTCTAGAATAAAGTACAAGAGCAGAACCGAAATTTATATCAAAACAGTCAAAAAGTAAAAGAAAAGAGAGGAGAGAAGAAAAAGTAGAAAAGGTAAAAAGCAAGAAACACGAAACATTAGACATCATTATTATGAAGACTTCCAAGGCATGGACCCCGAGTCTGTTAGATCATCCATTGAATTTGCATCACAAATTCTATGGAGGTTATAAAGTTATTTCAGGTACCATGACCACTTTGGTGATTTTAAATGTTGAACATAGTGAGTTTAACCCCTTTGCTGATGCTAGCAGAGTCACTGGGGTGTCAACAGAAAGCCTGGAGCTGGAGTTCCAGACTGGCTAATGTCAATTCTGTGCAAATTTCGATGCACAGAATCTAATTTAGTGGTTAGTTGACCCTCTAAGCCAATCAATGATCGACAGAATTGGCATCCAGCTTCTGCAGCTCGTGGTGGCTTCACTTGCCTGTTCACCGCGAGCTACGGCTTCTAGTGCCTGCTTGCCGCCTGCGACTGTTTCAATGATCGCATGACCCGCTGGTATTCTTTCTAATGCTGCACGCTCACATGCAGCGTGCTTAAATATGTGCCGAGTCAGCCACCTGACTCGGTGCAGATTGAAGATGTAAGGGGTCAAAGTGGGAGGATCAAATACCTTCCACGTGTTATAATTAATTCTAAGTGGAAATTAGCCTATCAGAATTATACTTAGCGTATTTAAACTTACCTCCTCCGTGCCTTGTTGCCCTGTTGTGGTCTTTTTATAGCCCAATAGCGCGTTTACTCTTGTTGGTTACCGAATTTTGGCTTGTCTCACCATTTTTCCTGCTTTCTCTGATCCTTGACCTTGGCTTGTCTTATCGTTATTCTCTGTGTCCCTCTGACTTTGGCTTGTACTCTGACTTCTCTCTATTTTGCATAGCCCGGCCACTCTAAGGACCGGTACTGCACTTTCTTTGTCTGTGATCTGTCAGTGTGTCTGGTTCCAGAGACCGTGGCAATAGTGAGATCAGTCTGCTACAAATTATAAAGGACACAACACTTACAGGTGGACAGCTAACCCAGGGTTCCATATGACTTAATAATATCTTTAAATAGCTTATTAATATATAGATACAATGAATGAAGGTTATTATTACCTTGACTTACAAGATTTAGAGATCATCAGAATTAATATAAATGAAACATGCATATGCATATCTCACAAAATGCAACAGATAGCTACTTGATTCTTCTAGTCTGTCTTTTCAATACAATTTGTTTTCAGTGGCATATTGTGATCAAAGTTCAGTTTCTGTTGTATAATTCCTTACCTGTGTTGTCTTGATAACAAGCACCTTTGTAAGAATATTTATTTGTATAAAAGTAAAGGAAAAGTAAAGGAAATAAAAGACTAAGCACATCTAATTATTATTATCATTTTTATTGCTAGTTAAATTTCAGTTATATATTTAGAATTATTTGACCCTTTCATTGCTAGTGTCTCCAAAGCATCATAACAACTTTACATAATTGATGCAGAGATTCCCGCGTCACTTCCCGGTCTCCCTTTCCATACTGGCTTTCAACCTGAATTAAAAAAAAAAAAAAATCACTGCATAAGACTGCCTCCTCAGTCAGCGACATCAAAGGAAGAATTTTATTTCCTCCTTTGCCATCCAAAATGAATCCAAATTGTGATTGGGCAGGGTTATGATGGTGCATGACAATGAGCTCTCAGGGTTATTAACTGAAGTGAAAATTTAAGGTGACTTCAAAGTGAATTTAAAATTTAAGGCCAGTATAGCCGACATGAACGCATGACTGCGTTAGAGAATTTTTACAGTTCGGCTAGTTTGACATTGAATTAGAAATTCACTTTGAATTCTCACTTAAGTAAATAACCATGCCACTGTTTTGTTTAGGTCCAGTTCTAGAATCAGCTATTGAACAGTTAACAGCATAATAAGAAGCACATAACAGACCTTAGTAAAAGACATACAACTTGGTGGTAATGGTAAGTAAGAACAAATGACCAAGCTAGGCTGCTAATTCCTTATCTGAAGTACACAACCTCTATTTGCCTACCCCTCCAATCTGGATTGAACCCATAACTTCAGGTGTTGTTTGAAACTCCCTAAATTATCCATATATGTTCAACTCATTGCTCAGCGCAACCATTTTGCTAACTATATTCTTGCTGTTTAAAGGACCACTATAGTGCCAGGAAAACATACATTTACAATGCTTTCCTATGGACGCTGGCATGCTCTCACTGTGAAAATCACAGTGAGAAGCACGCAAGCGCCTCTAGTGGCTGTCAATGAGACAGCCACTAGAGGCTTTGGGGGAAGGCTTAACCCATTCATAATTATAGCAGTTTCTCTGAAACTGCTATAATTATGAAAAAATGGATTAACCCTAGAAGGACCTGGCACCCAGACCACTTCATTAAGCTGAAGTGGTCTGGGTGCCTAGAGTGGTCCTTTAATTGATTAGCAAAGGATCATGGAACTTGAAGTCTACTAAAAAGCTGCCTAAAATATTCAAATTGTAGATTTTTTTCAATTCAGCTTTTTTTTGCCCAAATTGTTGTACCACAACCCACTGCTTAGTGAATAAACCTCAGTATGTGAAAATCATCAATCAAATATTTGTTAAACGTCCTATCACTTCTATAAAGCATTTAGCTCTCTTTAAGTACAGGAAGACAAATGTGTGTGCTTAGCAAAGGGTTAATACATTCTAATATCTGCTCACAGTACTCTACCTGTAAAACATCTTTTTCTTTTAAAGTGATTTCGAAAAAGTTTTACGAGGAAGAGCAAATTATTGTTTGTGAGTTTTTTTTTTTGTTTTTAAATACATCACAGGAATATTTAAAATACATAGCAAAACTACAAAATAAAAAAACGCTAATTATTTTTTCAAGATTTGCATTTCACTATTATAAATGAGCTTGCAGTAATTTTAGACTATTATGGGTTAATTGAATCTCCTCTTCAAGTTTCTCGGTCTATTGTTCAGGTCCCATCAAAAAATTTAGCAATACTTATTTAATGTTTAGTAAACATGCTTTAGTACATGGAAGTACTGTCTAAGATTATTTAAAGAAAAAAAAAGGTTTTCAAATGTATTAATATGTTTCTATTTAAATAAACATGTGAAAATCCCAGAACATGTGATGTTTGATATGAATCATTCATCTAAACCAGAGAGAGGCTAAGTTTCACTCCATATTTCCCTCTGAATCCTAAATGTGGGTCTGTCCTAACATAGCCCTCCCGGCTCCCCAATAGAAGTAAAACTCCGAACCACCTCTTGGAGATCCACATACTTTTCCCATGACATAGGAGGAATCAAGGGTTGAGGGAAAGTCCTGGCCTGGATTTTCAGGAAAGGCGAAAATGATAGTGGGAAATAGGATAATACTAACGAAATAGTACATTGTTACATATTAACATTGTAAAACTGAGTTTTATGGTATCTTGTACAACTTCCAGTGCTTTAACAGAGAAAGAAGCAATGTGAAACAACTCTCTCTCTCTCTGTCTGGTGGCATCCAAAGCACAATATACACATTGTATTTACTATTATTAATATTAGTTTTATAGTTCCAGTACATACTGTATTGCTTTTCAATTTTAAAAGGAGGATGTATAACAAAAAGGAATCTATAAACAAAACATTATCAGCAAAAAACAAGAGGTGAAGAGAGACCTGCACACATCTGTCTATGTGTCTGCCTGTTTGCCTGTTTGCCTGTCTGTCTGTCTGTCTGTCTGTCTGCCTGTCTGTCTATCTATTTGTATTATGGACAGTTGCACGAGGCTGAGATGAATATCTCACCCCCTGGAGGCCCATTGTAATATCTTGGAGAACCAAACTGGATTCCAACGCAGGGGTTAAGAATCATTGGTATAGATATTTACACACACGTTTGCTCATTTATAATGCACTCAGCATGTTTACTACTGCTCTTTTATATATGCTCATGTAAAAAAACAAAACAGTGCAACACTTCTGAACGCCAGCTGCCTGTGCATTACTATATGTTCAAGTACTCAAAGGGTTAAGCAGTCTAATGC